ATTGTTGGGGTTTTTTTTTGGTGTTAAGTTTTTTGAGTTATTTATATATCCTGAAGATTCGTGCTCTATAACTTAACAAAAGAAGTGAAAAACCTCTACAATATAAACTACAGAACATTGAAGAAAGAAACTGAAGAAGACCTTAGAAGATGGAAACATCTCCCATGCTTTTGGATGAACAAAATTAATATTGTCAAAATGGCCATACTACCCAAAACACTACACAGATTCATTATAATTGCAATTAAAATCCTATCGTCATTCCTTATAGAAATAGAAAAAGCAATCATGAAATTCATTTGAAAAATAAGAGATGCAGAATCACCAAAGCAATCATTAGCAATAAAAGTGAAGCAGGAAATATCACAATGCCAGACCTTAAACTATACTACAAAGCTATAGTAACAAAAGCAGCATGGTATTGGCACCAAAATGGACATGTAGACCAATGGTACAGAATAGAATTCTGATGCAGAGACAGATAGATACTGTTATCTCATAGTAGACAAAGGTGCCAAAAACTCATTGGAGAAAAGATGGCCTCTTCAACAAATGGTGCTGGGAGAACTGGAAACCCATATGCAGCAAAATGAAAATAACTTCCTATCTCTCACCATGTAAAAAGCTCAATTCAAAGTGGATCAACCACCTAAGAATTAGACTAGAGACTCTGTGCCTAATAGAGGAAAAAGTAGGCCCAAATCTTCATCACATTGAATTAGGCCCCAACTTCCTTAACAAGACTCTTAAAGCGCAAGAAATAAAATCAAGAATTAATAAATCAGATGGACTCAAACTAAAAATTTTCTTCTTGGCAAAAGAATCAATGAGGTGAAGAGAGAGCCTACATTTGGGGAGCAAATTTTTGACATACGCACGTTGTATTAGTTATCTTTCAGGCTTCTTTTCTACTTCTTTGCATTATATTTTATGTAATATTTTTGGTTGTTGTTTTATTACCAGTTACTGTGTCCCACCTTATTACAGGCTTCATTTGAATGTCTGATGTTCTTTTGTTGTCCCCCAATTTTATTTTATTTTATTTATTTATTTTTTTAAAGAGAGAGTGAGAGAGAGAGAGACAGAGAATTTTTAATATTTATTTTTTAGTTATCGGCGGACACAACATCTTTGTATGTGGTGCTGAGGATCGAACCCGGGCCGCACGCATGCCAGGCGAGCACGCTACTGCTTGAGCCACATCCCCAGCCCTGTCCCCCAATTTTAAGAGTGAGGCAGATATGTGTGTGTGAGTCCCATATGTATGAGAAAGCAGGAAGAGGGAAGAGCTAGGATGGTGGGATTCTCTGAATAGTCATTAGGCAAGTTGACCAGTTGTTTCATTAGAGAGTCTCCAAGAATTCCTCCCCAGAGTACAACCCCTGGCTTTCTTTCCTTGGGTGGTAGTGATTAGGTGGACAGGGTGGACCTAACTCCCCATGTTTCTGAAAATAAATTGTAAAGCATCCTTATTCAATACAGTTGGACTTAAACCCCTTGAGTTAGTTCTATGCCTCTTCCCCAGTTTTCACAAAGTTTGCATCTCATGAATTAGAATATTTCTGAGGTTGAGGATATGGCTCAGTGGGAAAGCATTTGCCTGGCCTCTGTGGGTTCCATCCCTAGCACCTCAAAAGAAAAAAAAAAAGAAGAACATTTCTGATTCAATTTTACTATAGTGAAAAAAAGTAGAGGTTGCCCAGTTAAATTTGAATTTCAGATGAGAAAGAAACACTTTTTATTTGAGCAGATCCCATGTAGTTATTCATTATCTGAAATTCAGATTTCACTGGGCCTTCTGGATTTCACCTGGAAATCTTATCCAAAGCATAAATCTGTGGACTGAGTGGGGAGAGAAGGGTATTGTCTTGACAGCACTGATGTGGGAGTTCTCAGGCACCTGGGAGAGCCCACAATTCCCTTTGGCCTTGCTCTCCACCTGACCTGATAGCATAAGGTGCCTCCAAATCCTCAGCTCCTTCTGGACTTCTGCAGGGCAGCTTGGCTTCCTCTCCTTGGCCTTGCCCTCAACAAACTTTTGACATTTGGAATTTTCTGTGTTGCTTCCATATTTCATTTCACCTAACATGTAATCTGTAGGATAACCTACTCTAATGAATGGTTAAGAATGACAATCTTATGCAAATGACAATCATGAGAGACTACCATTTCTAAGAGGCATATCAGCCTCAGACATGTTATAATAAGGAAAGGTATCACATTTTAGGGTCTCATTAAGTTGCTGAGGCTAGCCTTGAACTTGAGATCCTTCCTCAGCCTCCAGAGTCCCTGGGATTACAGGCACGTGCCACTGTGTCTGGCTTTTTCTATTATGTTTTCTGGTCTTCAATTATCTTTGTCCTTATAGATTCATATGTTTTCAAGAAGCCCATATTTTGCTCATTTTAGATTTTCAGGGAACAGCCAAGATTTCATACATGTGATTCTCTTCTTTCATGTAATGGAAATTTCAGATAAATCTGTCATTTGGCATAAAGAGGCTTATGCTCTTGGCTTCTTGTTTTTTGTTTTTGTTTTGTTTTGGTTTTTTTCCTTTCCTACCAAATGTAGTGGCAGTATGATGCAGTGGTTAGTAGACCAAGATCTTCTTGGCCTCACCTAGCCATTGCCAAATCCCTACCAGTTGTTATAGCCCGGTTCACAACTTCTGCAGCCCAGAGAATAACTTTTTCTCACCACTCTGTGCTGACAGAGCTTCTGAGTTGTGACAGGCTTATTTTAAAGGTCAGGAGATGAGGAGATAAGCCCCCATGCCAAGCGAGACAGCAGGAACAGCAGGGGCAATTTATCTTGCTCTGTTCTTTCTGTACATCCCTCAAAATCTCTCTGGCTCTTTTGTCCTCTCACCTTTTGGAGTTCCCTTTTTGGTTTTGAAAGTGATCTTTTCCATCCTGCACTGTGTTTTTCTTATTTTCTTTCCCTGAGTCAGACCTTTGTTTTCTTTCTTTTATTCATTCAACTATATGTGCCCAAGACTATTCTGGGGCACCAGGAACACAGCATTCAAAAAGACAACAGCCACCCCTCACAGGGAGCTTACATTCAGGAGGGATAGGGGTGGGGAAGACACAATAAAAGAATAAGGTGTGTGATGTGTTAGAAAGTGTTCAGTGGAAGAAAAGAGCTTGCAAAGAGGGTGGGCAGGCATGGGGGCAGGAGTTGCTATTTTCAATATGGTGGTCTGGGAAATTCTCATGGAGACCATTGAGAAAAGACCTGAAGAGTCCAGGAAGAGGGAGTGAGCCAGGTGATCCAACCTCAGGGGAGCAGGAGGAGTATCCCAAGCAGAGGAATCAGCAAATATAGCTGCCCTTGGGGCCCGGGCCTACTGGGGGGGAAAAGTCAGAGCCTGGGGTGGTGGTGGCTGGCTAGAATGAGCTAGGGGATAGTGCCAGGCTGGATGGGGGTGGAATGGTTGTTATCATTATAATCTCTTCAGGCTTCTTTTACTGTTTTTTTTTTTCATTTGGTACTAGAGACTGAACACAGAGGCACTTTAACACTGAGACACACCCCCAGCCCTTTGTATTTTTTTATTTTTTACTTTGGTAGTGCTGGGGATTGAACCCAGGGCCTTATACATGTGAGGCAAGCACCCTACCAATGTAGGCTATATCCCCAGCCCACCTGTTTTTTATTTTGAGATGGGTCTACTAAGTTGTTTAGGGTTTCCTCCCTAAGTCACAGTGGCTGTCCGTGAACTTGAGGTCCTCCTGCCTCAGCCTCCTGAGATGCTGGGATTGCAGGCCTGTGCTGGTCAGACCTCACCATTTGTGAGGGGTTAGGAGAGAAATTCAGAGGTGAGGGAAGGGCAAGGTGAAGCACAAACGAATATAATCTGAACTGCATTTTCTCAGGACTTTGTGTAGGCCAGCTGAACTTGTCTCACTGTCTAAAATGCCTGCTCATTTCTGAATTTCCTTTTGAAAAACCAAGGCTGATGTCCTCTCCATTTTACACCAGGAGATTCTCTCTTTTAGGCAGAATCTGGTCTCTTCCTCAGTGACAGCTACACTTTTAGAATCTTAATTTATGTCTCTCCAGTCACCGTAAGGACTGATGACCATAAAAAGCTCCTACAGTGTTCACTGTTTAATTTTTAGCTTAGGGATTTAGTCTGACAAATTATCCTTTATCTCATTTATGGTGTCTGTGATGCACCAGCTTTCCTTTGAACTAAAGGGTAATGTAAAAGAGTACTTTGGGGGAGGAATGGGAAGTAAAATAGGTTCCTGGGGTGCAGTTATTAGCATCAAACCTAATACAGTCATCTAACGAGTGCCAAGCATAACCTCAGCCCTTGGAAAAGAAGTTCATCAATGAATGCTGATCATGTTCTCTACCAGCCTGTCCAGTATTATAAGAAAATATTTTAGGGTTGTTTCAAGGTTGAAGGGGAGCTAAGAGAATCCCTCTTGATCACATTCATTTAAAGACTAAAAATCATAAAACAAAAGGCTGATCAAACAAAGCACCCAGTCATCATTTGTTCTTAAGGAACAGTGTCAAAGGGTCTTATTTAATCATTTAGTGCTATTAGGTTTCCATGGAGGCAGTGGCTTTAGACTTGGCATTCTGATCCTCCTTTGCTCATCTTTTTCCCCTATAGAAAATACAGTGATAATAATAATACTCATTTCTAATTGCCAAAACTGTAGACCTGGCAGATGACCTGTTTGGTCCAGGTGCTTCTGGGATAGGGATTTATGTTCTTTGTGTAGAAACACGAGACAAAATGAATCAAATTCATTGCTCAGTCTTATTATTGCCATTCATTGGGCATCTGAAATTAGAAGTCTGCAGCTCTGGGCTTTTGGATTGGTTCTCCTTATTATATGTGAGATCTGTGAGCCATATATCTGGCACATTGGTCATATATCTATCCTTGTTCACTGTGAGTTCTTGTGTTAATTTTTGGTTGCTATAACAAAATACCTGACATTATCAACTTACAAAGAGGAAAAGTTTCATTTACTCACGATTTGGAGATTTATTCCATGAAGACTGGACCTGGGACTTTAGGGCCTGTGGTAATGCATCATCACATCATGGTGGAGCAAAACATTTACCTTATGCTTGGAACACAGAAGAGAAAAAGGAGGAGATCAAGGTCTATAATCCCCTTTAAGGGCACACTCCCAGTGATCTGCAGCTTCCCCTTAGGCCCCAACTCTTAAAGTTTCCACCATCTCCTAATAGCATCAAGCTGGGGTGGGAGTCTTTAACATATCAAACATTCCAGATCAAAACTACAGGAATCCAAGCAGAGTTTATGGAGGCTAGAGGCTGACCAGAAGCCTTTATGTACATACCCAGGCATCCCAGATCAGAACCACAAGCTGTGTTGCCCTCTTAAATGCTCTGACCTCCTGAGAATCCTGCTTTTGCATGAATAAATCTATTAGGCTAGCATGATACATTCTCCAGGGTTTTTTTTATTGCTATGACTAAAATACCTGTCAAGAACAACTTGGAGGAGTAAAGATATATTTTGGCTCAGGGTTTCAGAGGTTCAGTCCATAGTTGGCCAAGTCCATTGCAGAAACATCGTGGCAGAAGGTCACGGCAGAGGGAAACTGCTCAGCTCATGGCAGCCAGGAAGCAGAGAGAGAGAGATAGACTGAGAGGGGAAGTGGCCAGGGATAGATGTAGTCCCCTAGGCCATGCCCTCAGTGACCTACTTCCTCCAACTAGGTCCCACCTCCCAGAAGTCCATTCAGCTGTCAATAGATTAATTTATCACATAGATTAATCCACTTATGAACTCAAGAGCCCTATGATTCAATCACTGCTTAAAAGCCCCACCTTTGAATGTTGCTACTTCGGAGATCATGTTTTTAACACATGAGCTTTCTTGGAGGCGTTTCAAATCCAAACTATAATATATGACTCCTCAATGCAGGCAGCTGCTGGAATGACCACATGAGATGATATGAGAGAGAAAGCAGAGAAGCCAGAACTTCAAATGTATCTGGGGGCATATAAGCCATTAACTAGTTCTCTTTCCATTATTAGGTAGATTGAACTTTCATTAACCTTTAATAGAATAATTCTGTTTCCCTTTTTTTCCCCTCTCATTCCCTCAATAAATCTTTGTCAGCACCTACTGTGCATCTAGCTTGGCACATAGTTACCCTTAAAAGTTTAATCACAGAATGCTTCCCAGGTATGGGGGTTTATCTTCTCTGAGAAACAGGACTTGAAGCCTGTCTTTCCACAGTGACAAAGTTTGTATACTTTGATAAAATCTACACACACTATGGAGAATTAACAGTCAATATTAGATCTTGTGTATGTAGGTATTAGAGACCAGCATAAATATTTTTTTAAAAAACAACTCTGCATTGTCTGAGACAATTCTTAGTAGCTAGATATTTCCGGAAATGCAGATATATTAGTAAGCTTTAGACAAAAATCAGTCAGGCCTTTAGACTGCATTTCCAAAGTCTAGCCTGTATTGATATAGTCACAGAATGTCAGGACTAGAGGGCTTCAGCTCAGAAATTCAATCCAATTCTTCCTTCACTTCTTCTATTTTCCCTCAAGCCAGTCTTCTTGGACATGTGTATCGTTAGGATGCTCTCTAGCAAATGCTATATTTTTAGAAATCTATAATTCAGAGAAAGAACTTTTTTTTTTTGGCTTAAACTGAATGTGCATCCTCCTTTTAGCATTTCTTTCTCTCTGATGAACAAATGTGCTGCAACTTACGATTTCCATCTGTCTTTTTATTAAAAGCCAGGTTTCTTACCCGTAGTGGATTTTCTCTTTTATCACTAAGCAACCTCTCTCCCCTGGGTTCCTCCAATCCCAGTTCCTTTGGCTGAACTTTAAATCCTTTTACCTTCCTGATCATTCTCCAACATCTGCCTTTAATTACTTTTCTGCTAACTAGTAGGCAGGGAAAGAGAAACTGATAAAATTTAAATAAATCATTTGTCCTTTTGGAAATGCTTCTAGAAAGTTCCCAGAGAAGACTCTTACATTATAGTAGAAAAGATTTGGGGATTTTTACTAGATTTTATTTAGTTATGCCATCACAAACATTATAGGACCTTGGGGTCCTTAAGAACATCAGATAATATAGCCCTGCATGATGTGGTAATACATGCTTATAATCTCAGTGATTCTGAATGCTAATTCAGGAGGATAACAAGTTCAAGGCCAGCCTCAGCAATTTTGTGAGATCCTCAGCAACTTGGAGAGACCCTGTCTTAAAATTAAAAAAAATAAAAAGATTTGGGGATATAGATCAGTGATAAAGCAGTCCTGGATTCAATTTCCAGTACCAAAATAATAATAATAATAGTAATAATAATAATACAGCCCAAGATGTTGATTTTGTAGGAGGGAAACTGAGTCCCAGAGAGAGTAAATGTCTTACCCGAGAGCAGACAGGTGACAGTGACAAAGTTGGAAGTCATATCCCTGAAGCCTGTCTTTCCACAGTGACACAGTGGCTTACCTACCCTTTGGTACTGGGTCCTAGCTTGGCACATAGTTGCCCTTAAAAGTTTAATCACAGAATGCTTCCCAGGTATGGGGGTTTATCTTCCTCTGAGAAACAGGACTTGAAGAAGGATGTATTTGAAGCATTAGGAAGGAAGGTGTCCTCTCAGATCAGCCCTACCAATTCCAGGGTTCTGAATATAGAGACAGGAGACACCCAATCCCTTTCTCCTTCCTCACTCCTACAGACCAGAGGTGGACAAACTATACCCTGCTTGCAAAAAAACAGACAAACAAAATGCCTATTGCCTTCTGATACAAATAAAGTTTTATCAGAATACAACCATGGCCATTCATTTACATATTATGGCTGCGTTTGATCTACCACTGCAGAATTGACTAGTTACCATAGAGATGTGGTAGCCTTCAAAGAAGAACATTTTTACTATCTGGTTTGGCAGAAGTCATTTGCTGAGCACTGTTAGAGAGAGGTAAACTCTAACACTGTTAGAGTTCCAACTGTGGTTTTGACCTACAGTCCTTGTATTTCTGTACATCTTCTGTTTGACTCTATCATGATGATAATGATGATTTAATTAGGTGATTTAAATCAATGCATGGAATAAAAATCTAATGGAAGTCCAGTCCAGGAAAAACAGGTTTGTATACTTTGATAAAATCTACACACACTATGGAGAATTAGCAGTCAATACTAGATCTTGTGTGTGTGTTTAAGAAAAATATAAAACCTGCCCAAGGATGACAATCATCAACTTTGGAGCAGTAGCTACATACTGGTGTTTGTGTAAGAGGTCAAGAAGGATGGAGAGAGATGGGCTTAGCTTCGTGGTTCTTTTTAATTAAAAACGAGAAATTTAAAGAAAACTCTAATAGAATGTTAACTTGGCTACAATTGGCATTTGCATGTTGGGAGTCTCATATTGATTTCTACCTTTTGTTCCTATGCCTTTTACTTTTGGTAATTGGAACTAAAACCAAAAAGGCAGGCAGGCAGGCAGACATTTGCTTGAGTAAATCAGTTAGTTTGTCAGAGTTTTAGAGACAACCTTTAGGTAGGAGTATTTCCAAATGCTTGGGAAAAACCTTGGCCCCTATATTTTGAAGAATGTGGGGCAATAGGCATAACACACATAGAAAGAGATATGCTTGACATATGCATGTATGCACATATACATTTAATGCTTAGTGGTTTAAATAGACACATTGCAGAGTCCTAGAAACATTAGTTGTTCAAATGCATACTCCTGTAAATGATTCAATAGGGAATGTGAAATTCCATTTCTGTCCTCAATCAAAGTAGAGGAATTTACCACAAAGAGGCATAATCTTTTGTCTCCTTCTGAACATTTATGAATAAATGAGCATGACTGCCCCTTCTCCCCCACTAATAAGCTTCTACTATAAAGATTGTTTCGTATCCTGCATTTTTCTTGGAGATATTTCTAATTCAGAATATCTATTCCACATAATTATTCAATAGCATTTCATAGAACTGAAAAAATATTCTCCATTGTGCATTACTAGAATGCTTTCATATCATCATTAAACATTTGAGGGACTAAACTTCTGAAATACATTGCTAATCTATGACTTCATATCTGTATTATGTGGGTAACAGAGCTGGAGGCAGTTTAAGTAGGAGATGCAATAATTACAAAATACATTTCTCCCATGTGAGCTAAATCTCCTTGTTTTAAAAAGACACTCAAAACTCATTCTAATCAACTATTTCCCAAGAGAGTTCAAAAAGTTTAACAGGAGGATCTGAGATCATTTTATTTCAAAATGTTTGCACAAGTTCTTCTTTACAACAATGGGTGTGAGTGTTTTTTAAGGTCTGAATGGAAGTGGAGATTTGATTGAAAAAAAAAAAGGTAGGAAATTCGCAATTAGGAGAGGCCTGAAGCACTTTCCTTTTCTTTGTAAAATGAAGCTCCAAGGGTATGAATTTTATAAAACAAAATCTCTCCCAAATTAATTGAGAATGAGGCTAGATGTAACTCAGTGGTGGTTGCCTAGCAACCGAGCTCCATGCTGGAAAGAGAATGAGGGTACTTCAGCCCCTGGGTACTACTTAAGGCATTGAGTTGCTTAAAGGATGTGAAGAAAACTGTGCTCTTTTGGAAGTTTCTGTTTAAAGATGCATATAATCTATACTGCATCTTTCACTTGTTAAACAAGATTTGATGTTAAAATTCAGCTTAAATACCACCTCTTCCATGAAGCTTTCCCTGACTGTCCCCAAGGATCCTCAGATTCTGTGCTGTATTTGTTTCCTCCATGTTCTGCTCATCCTGTGCATTTCATTTCACTCATCACAGTGTCTCAGAACCATTCGTTTGTTCATTTAATTAGGTTGTTCATTTCTCTTTTTGTCTGCTCAACTTGATTGTGTTTAGGGATTGTCTCTTGATTTTCTTTGCGTCTTCCACATAGAACCCCATGCTTCATACTCTGTAGGTGCTTTGGCATTTGTTGGATGTGTGGATGGATGGATGGATGGATGGATAGATGATTGGATAGGAGGGTAGATGAGTGGATGAATGGTGGATGAATGGATAAATGGATGGATGAATAGATAGATGGAAGGGTAGATGGGTAGATAAATGGGTAGGTGGGTAGCTAGCTAAACAAACAAATGGAGAAATGAATCAAAAATGAAAAAATCAATCAGGCATCAGTTAAAGTTAATACCTATAAAAGTGGCAGTATTAATAACTCTATAATGTCTATAAATATAAAACAATAACTGCAGTACACGCAGTTAGGAGGGACTTTGTGATTGATTATCCTGTCTCAAACTATGTTCTGAAGAGTTGGTTTGAATTAAGTTTCCTTCCATTTTCTGTTCTTTACCCTACAGGCAGCCTGAGCAATTGTGTCTGATTTCTAAAGTAGATTCAAATTATTATCCAGTTGGCCCTGATCTCCCATCCCAAGGTAAGCATGGATGCTGCTTTTCTCTGCTTATTGGACTTTGCCTGTGGCTTATTGCTTTGTTTATTATTACCCAAGTGCTCCGTCTTCCCTTTCATATTGTTGTTAAGTATCCGTCATCTTAGTTTGCACAACAAAGTTTCTTGAGGAAACTCTTGATTCCTGGTGGCTGTTAACATGTTTATTTATGACTGCAATAACCCTAGAACTCCCCTGGATAATCCTTAAAGAGGACATTATACGTAGGACTGTGTCCTGAGGTAGAGAGCTGTAAAGGGAGCTCATTTCTCATACACAGGTCTTCACATGAAGATATTAGAGGGATTCTGTTTTGAATATGGTTCTGTCAGGGAGCAGATAGCACATAAATTGTGTCATTTAAAGAGAATTTTTAAGGGGACTTTTACTAGGAGTTGGCCAAGTGATAGAGAAACTGAAAGAGAGGGGTAGACACAGAGGCTACAAACAGGATATACCTGAAGGAGAAATGGGGAAAGAATGGTTACCAAAACCTAGAGAAAAGAAAATGAAGAGAAAGATATGGAGGGTTGTATGGAGGGCTGCCTGAAAGGAACATGCCCTGTGTTCAGGTCCATGGAAACTCTGCAGGGAAGCATCCCAGGGAATCAGTACCCTGAATATTCCTCATTTCCTTCCTTTGATCTCCTGCTGATGGATCCAGTAGCCAAGCCTAACTGTGTGGCCCACATATATATGCTAGCCTCGTGAGTCAGGGAGGTAAGTAGTCCAGAGGTGATCTGGAGGGGCCTGTGAAAGATAATACTATTCAGCCCCCAGGAAGAAAGCAAGCAGAATGGGCTCTGTGAACAGAAGACATGCTTCATATATCTTACCTCCAAAATAATGGTGGGGAAAACATTTGGACATTTTGTTATGCATCTTTAACTGCTTCTGCAAATAAATATATGTGTATTCTCTGAAAGTTCCTTAGCACCTATTCATTCCCCACCCCTACCACCAGTGCTGGGGATTGAATCCAGGGCCTCACACATGCTAAGCAAGCACTCTACCTTGAGCTACATATATTCCCAAACCTTTTTAAATTTTTTGAGTCAGGATCTCCCTAAGTCACCCAGGCTGCCCTCTATGTTGCAATCCTCCCACCTCAGCCTACAGAGTAAGTAGAATTACAGGTGTGTTCCAACATGCCCAGCTCCTTATTCATCTTCTAGTATTTACTGTTTTGAAAGGTTGTAAACATAGGAATCTATGTTAAGCTACTTTAGGAAAGGAATGGATACTTTAGGATAGATTATTGCTCTAGAAGGGCAGATTTCTAAATAGCTTCTGGAATTACAAAAGCACAAGGCTGGGGGCTTTAGGTCTAGAAATCCAAATATTTCTCTAGGTTTCAGTTCTATGGGGAGAGAATCTCACCAGTTTAACTTAGGGTAAGTGATTAACCTTAATAGAATTAGGGTTGATCAGCTAGGCATGGTGGCTGAATTATGCCTGTAATTCCCAAGGCTCAGGAGGCTGAGGCAGGAGAATTGCAAGTTCAAAGTCGGCCTCAGCAACTTAGAGAGGCCCTAAGGAACTTAGTGAGGCCCTGTCTCTAAGTAAAATATAAAAAGGGTTGGGGATGTAACACCCTTGGATTGAATGCCTGGTACAAAAAAAATTAATAATTAGAGATGGTCAGTTGATATACAAAAAAAAGATACACATATTGTCCCTTGGAACTTATTTGTGGGGAATGGTGGTGGGTCTCGTTCTTAGAGAAGAGATGGCAG